TGCTCCCTAAGAACCATGGATAACATGTGAGCAGTCTGTAAGAATCAGTTTTCTGCCAGGCACCATGCTAAACATTCCACTGCACCCTTTCACTGAATCTTCAGCAAGAGTCCTAAGTTAGGCAACACTGCTAAGCCCCATGTAACAAACCAGTAAACCAAGATTCACAGAGAGGGAGACACTTGCCCAAGGCCTTGTGTATGGAAGAACCAGAATTTGAACCCAGGTCTGCCTGGCTCCAGAGCATGAATCTGCTTGGCCACTTCATTCAAGGTCTTCTGTCATAGTCAATCGCCTTCCAGTCACCTTCTGTTTGCATGTGGTTCTTCCACCAACCATGAGCTCCTCAAAGGCAGGGACAGAACTCCTTCACCTCCATATGCCCAGCATCCAGCAAAGGGTTTAGCCAAAAGCAGGAACCCAGCAAGGCTGGCGAATGAATGCCCACAGAAAGGAAGTAAAACCCCCTCTCCTTTTAAGAAAGTGGCCCTAAGGATGCCCCTCACAGAACCCAACCCAACCAACTGCCCACTACCCCTGGTCAAAATCCACAGACCACCTACTCAGCTCCCTTGAGCCTGCTCCTCCATAACCCCACTCCAAGGGAAGGATGAACAGCCATACTCTGAGGAAAGGCAAGGTGGGCTTCAACAAGTATAAGCAGTACATTTTTAGAGTTGTGCTTTTTTCTGCTTCCCCCTCTTGTCCTGGAGCAGCTGGAGAAATATTTCTTTCCTCTCCCATCTCCAAGACTTTTTGGACAAGTATGACCAACCATACCCAAAGCCTATAGCTAGTATATGGCACAACACACGCCTGTCTCAGAGTCAGCACTCAAATACTTGGAAAGTGAAGGAATAGAGCCCAGAGACTGGGTTTCTCCAGAGACCTGATGGCTTATCAATAAGAGCTTGCCAACATTCGGTAGCTATGATGGAGTGGAGGTCCATCACAATGGCCAAAAAGAACCTACCCTGAAGTCTTAGCAGCAAAGAAAGCAGGAGAGTTCCCCTGCGCAGGGAGGAGCCACAGACATAAAGTAATGCACGCCATAACACAATGCATACTCTGATCAAGGCAGGCACACAATGAAAGTCAAGGGAACACAAACAGGAGTGGTCACTTGTGCCTAAAAGAACAGAGCAGGTTTCACAAAGGAGGGGCCACTTGAGCTGGGAAGCCAATCCCAAATCACCCAAGGAGAAGTCATTGTTTCCTGCCTCCATGACCCCCATACTGCACCACCCCAACATCGGGCCCACCGTACTGTTCTACAGCCAGTGGCTTGTGTGCCTGTCTTCCTGCACACTATGTGGGCATCTCAAGGGCAAGGACTTTGGGCATTGTCGATGGCTCACCTTCAACTGCCCAGCAAATACCTGCTGACAAAGAATAAACGAGTTTCCGTCAGGTTATTAATAACATGCCAGATACCTACCTCTTCTTGAGCATCCACTACAACCTGGTATCACCGCAAGTACTTGGTATGCATGATCTCATTTCCTCCACACAAAACCCCCAAAAGGCAGATTTTATTAACATCATCCATTTTACAGATAAGGAAAGTGAAATTCAGAAAGATTAGGCAGATCATCCCAAGTCATACAGCCAGTAAGTAACAGCCAAACTTTGAATCAAGGGCTGAATGGAAGATCAGTTTTCAATTACTAGTAAAAAAATCCCTTTTCCTTTCTTTCTGTTGTCTGCCTTGCATCCAGATACGTGGATTGCCTGTAATCTATTGTTCAATGGGACCAAAGCCATTTGTTTCCCAGAAAAGAACAAGGGATGTCCCTTACTACTCTTCTCAACAATGACTGCTAACCATTACTGAGTAAACATCATGGTGGGGGGGGGGGAGAGGGGAGAGGCATGGACAAAACTTCTTACAACATCAGTCAAAAACATTTATTAATAAGGAACTGTATGTACCAATTGGAACATTTTCCAATGTTGAAACAATTTCCAAAACAGATCAAGTGAATAAACGAAGGAGAAAGAGTATGTACAGACACTATTCTTTGTGTAAGAGAAAGAATATATAATAAACAAGAAAATGGTAATAGTGGTTGCCCCCAGGGAGAAGGACTGGCAGCTTGAGGCAAGAAACACCCTTTTTACAATTTGTTCCCCTCTGAATTACTTGCCTTTAAAAAGAGAATCCATGTGTGATTTTTTTTTTAACTTCTTAAAAAAATAAGATTAAAAACACCATTTAAAGATGCCACTTTTTGCCAGGCCGCTCCCAAATGCTCACATACATATAACTGCAACCATGAAAAAGCTTATGAACAAAAACTGGATGAACTTAATCTGTGGTAAATCAGGACGGTGAAACAGTTTTTGTCTTCCATGCTGAGGGTGACCAATTTCACTAATGTTGCAATATGTTTTTGCAACTAAATCAAAAGAATTTTGAAGACAGAGATACAACATACATATAAGCAGCAGGAACAATTTGCTACACCTTCTTCCTAAACTCCTTCATCTGTTCCTTCAACAAGTATTTAATGAGCACCTACTGTGTGCTACACAAAGTGCTAGACAGATTTTTTTTTAAAAGAACTAAACAGGTCATTATTTTCTTCCTTCCTGCCTTTCAGGAAAATAGGGACAGCATGCTAATGAAAGAATGCTAGAGCAAGGACCACCCTTGATGTTCACAGTCTAAAACCATCCTCATTCAACCTAGAAAATGGAGATCTGGGGAAGGGATTTGTTCAAGGTTACATAAGAAGTGAAGGCCTCAGAATTACCAGTCCTGCTCTCCCTACATGCTTCATGCTGTTCTGTTGTGTTGAAAGATGAGCAGGCAGGGAGGGGAGAAAGGGACCCTAACGTTGAGTGCCTGATATATCAGGTGCTTTCACATATCCTGTGTCATTTATTCTTCATAACTTCTCAAGGTGGGCATGATTATCCTTGTTTCACAAATAAGGAAAACAAAGCTCTGAGAAGCTGAGAAACTAGCGCATAAGGCTTCCAACACAGACCTGTCTGACTTCCAAGCCAGAGCCTTCACCCTCCATACTGAACAGGAAAATCAATTTAAAAAGGTAGACTGGGGGAGGGGGGGCCACACCCGGGTGGCTCAGTCGGTTAAGTGTCTGACTCTTGATTTCAGCTCAGGCCATGATCTCAGGGTCCTGAGATTGAGCCCCATCTCAGGCTCCGTGCTCAGCGTGGAGTCTGCTTGAGATTCTCTCTCTCCCTCTGCCGCTCCCCCCACTTGCATTCTCTCTCTCTCTCTCTCTAAAATAAATAAATAAATAATAAATCTTTAAAAAAAAAAAAAAAAGGTAAACTGGGGCCATATCACAGAAAGCCTCGGTTTTAACATTTTCCATTAATGAAGTTTCTCTCTCAACCCTGGGTGTTGTCACTCCAATAGTAACAATCAAAAAGCCAATCCCCTCATTATTCAATGCATGTTCTAACTTTTGTGCACCACCAAGTTTGGGCTTTCCTTTTAACCCACAGATGGTAACCCAGAGGGCAGCAATCTCTGAGAACCATTTACACAGTTTCTGCTAGGACAGAAAGGGACATCACACATGTTGCTTCTAGGCCCTCTGGGTGCCTGCCATATAAACACAGGCCCTAGTAAGGACCCATCCCTGAGATCCCATGATGCCACTGGGTCACTGCCACACCAGCTGAGTGGTAGTGAGAGGGGCCAGCACCATGGTGGTTCACCTCCAAAAGTTTCAAAGCTTCTAAAGTAAAGAAAAATGCAGACCAGTGTAAGAGAAGCTTCCTCCTGCCTTCTCTCTGTCCATGAAATGCAGGTGGGAGAAATGACAGTTTGGAATGGTCAAACTGCTAGTGAAGAGAGATACTGTGTGGCAAAAGGTCACACACATGGGTACAGGACATCTTCTGGATAGGAGAGAGTCCTCTCAGCTTGATTTCTTCTCTCTGCTCCTGTAGGAAGCTAATGAATTCTCACATTCCCCTCTTTTCAGGGTATTCTTTCTGGAATGTGGTAAAATCAGAGTTCCTACTTGGATGGGGAGGGAGAATTCCAAATAGGGCTCAAGCCTAAGCCTCTTGATCCAGCTCAGAGTCCTCAATGGGGTTGGGGTCTAAAGGTCAGCAAACAATTAAATGTTCCTCACTTTCCACCTGCCATTGCTCCCTGCCACATCTCCCTCAGAGGTCATGATCCAAGTCAGATCCGAGACTGTCTCTTGGGGACTCTGCCACAAACCTCATCCCAAACTCAAATAAGAAAAAGGTCTGCTAATTAGAAATACCCTGAATCCAACTTCCCCTTTAAGCCCCCAATCCCTGAATCCAACCTTCCCATCGGCAAAGAGGAAGGAGACTCATAACTTTACCCCACGATTTGCTCAGTAAGCATTTTTCCATCCTATCCTCACAAAGCCCCTGGGAGGCACACAAGGCAGGTAGCACGATGCTCCATGCTCAGATGCTCGTTTTGCGAAGAAAGACACAGAGCTCGGAGAAGTGAAAGACTCTCCAGGGGTTACACAGAGGCAACAGCTTCTGAACCCTCATTTCTGTTCTTCCCCGTCACCAGCCTGCCATGTCAGTCTTTTGGGAACTGCCATTACTAAGATCGGCAGCAGCATCTGGTACCAGGACCCTTCAAGCTTCACACTAACTACTCTTCCAGCAAGCAACATTTCTCAACCACATTTCTAATCATCCAATGAATGCCAAACGCCAACCCCAACCGAGGCAGGCCCCCAGCAACAGGGAAAGCCCCAGAGACACGAAAAACGACGCGCCCCACTTAAGGCACAGTGTGGCATAGGAGAAACCGCCAGCCTAATAACCGGGCGACAGAGACCCAAGTCAGCCTCAGGAGAGGCACAGGCAGGCCTGGCCGGCCCCTCCGGCCCAGCAGCAACCCTCGAAGCCTCCAGAGTCTTCAGAGAGCTCAAAGCTCCTGGGCCCACCCCAAGCCCCCCTGGACAACGGAGAGGGCTGCACTCCCTTCTCCAGGGACCACTCGCCCTCCGCCCGCTCCTCACCTGGGGCACCGCTTCCGGACCTGCAACCACTAGGGGCCCCGCCCCCCGCCCCTGCAGGGCTCCCTGGCTCCGCCCTTTTCACCTGTGGTTTCCTCAGGCCCGGGATCTCCAGCAGCTCCGGCCTCACCTCGCAGCCCCCTCCCACTGCCAAATCGTGGTCCCACCTGGCCCCGCCCCCACACCTGCGGCCCCCTCTGCCCCGCCCAACTGCCTCCACCAGCCCCGCCCCCACACACCTGAGGCCTGTCCCCACCTCCACCCCCACACCCGCTGCCCTTCCTACCAACCCCTC